CTGGATAGCTGGCCAATCACAGCACACCTCGTTTCAGAAAGGTGGGGCATAGAGGAGAAACAATAATGTACAGTATGTGGAAAATAATGTTTTTTTAACCTTAAACCGCATAAACATTTCATTACACCAAATACACCAAATACTGTTCTTTTTAGTAGCATCATATGACCCCTTTAAATTAGAAATGCTGTCTCAGAAACTGATAAGTTCAAGTACTAAAATTACTAAAACTGAAATAAAAATAAAGCTAAATATAAAATAAAATATAACTAACAAAATGACAAAAGCACACAAAATTGCTAATATGAAAAACTGAAAATATTAAAAAAGCCCATTCAAATATTAATAATTATTATAACAGCATACAAATAAGACTACAATAACACTGATAATAATAATAATATATTTTTTTTTAGCGAGCATTGTTCATCAGTGACCTAAAACAGTGAGATCCCAAATCTCAGAATTTCAGTGTGGTCTCAGACATTTGGACCCCCACTTTTTCTGACCACTAGAAACAGGATCCTTTCTTATTACCTTTTGTCTGTAGGTGTGATGCTGCCGTTGATGGCTGTGCTGTCTGCTGCTTGAATAGACGTTGATCCTGTGTCCTTTTCAAGAAGACAATACACAATTATTAAAATTACCAAGCAATGCTAGCTGGCTAATTGGCAGGTAAATGAAGAAACCACAAGCTATGAAATCCTAGACAGGGCTCACCTCCTCGATTATCTTTAAGCGTTTGGTGATGGGCTCCATTGATGAAGCTGGCTGTAAAGAAAAGGGAGATTTTCTTGTCAATCAAAGACAATTCAACAGATTCATTTTAGATTGTCTAGAAATAGCAAATAGTCTTGCACTCAAAGTATCCTAGATACACATCAAGGAGAAAACACCAAGTCCAGAGCCAAGGGAGGAAAACCAGGTGGAAACCTTTTGGCCCAACAGTCACAAATGATCTTAAGTGCACGTTATTCATGGCTCTGTCGGATTCCAGTAAGGATTGCACTTATATTATCCTCTGCTGTTATGTCACACAGCTCTTTCTGCCATATCTGATGTGAGAGCCAGGAGCGAAGCCAGTGTTAGGAACTGAAAATCAAGTTATCATGCTCAGCCACATGCTCCATTTCAGTTTAACTGAAACTTATACAGGGCAAGAAAACGGCTGACGCAGCCTAAATGAACATTTTTGAGAAAAGCCTCGGGCAATTAAGATCTCAGTGTCTCCGTTTTTGGAGATATAATTTTAAGATCGATTCGTTTCTGACTGTGGCGCCTGAAAGCAAAAGGGCAAAAGGACAAGCAAGAAGGAAATGTTCTTCTGAAGAGGAAGTGCCAAGAGGAAAGGAAGAGTCAACAGAAGCACAAGAGTATCTTGGCTGGGCGTCTTTGCTGGCTGAAAACAATCTTTTCCGATACATTTTTTCCATCAATTCAATCAATTATTCAGACACGCTAACAAACTGTGCAACCATAGCCAGAGTCCAAAATTAACTTTTTGCCACACCTATGGCCATAAATATTTTTACTGTTTATTTTACTGCCTATTTATTTTAAATATTTTTCTATTCAATTTTATTTTTGACCATAATATGTAGCTTACAACTGCTGTGGCATAAAAAAAAAAGATGTTCTTTTTTGACAGTATTGTTTCAGTGGTCTGTTAACTATCACCCCACTTTTTGAGCACAAGCTTGAAAACAACTCGATAAAATGGTTGCAGAAATATTATGAACACTACCTCTCAAAAGTTTGGGGTCAGTAAGAGTTTTTTTTTGTACATCTCCTATACCCACCAAGGCTGCATTTATCTGTGCAAAAATACAGTAACAGTAATACTGTGTATTTTTATATATTTTAAATTTTAATTTATTCCTGTGATGGCAAAGCTGAATTTTCAGTAGTCATTACCCCAGTCTTCTGTGTCAAATTACTCTTCAGAAATCATTCTAATATGCTGATTTGCTGCTCAGGAAACATTATTTTTTTTAATATTAATGTTGAAAACAGTTGTGCTGCATAATATTTAATAACCACCTTACTTTTTTCAGGATTCTTTGTTGAAAAAAAAGCTCAAAAGAAAAGCATTTATTTGGAATAGAAATCTTTTGTAACACTATAAATGTCTGCCAGTTCTGATTAATTTAATGTGTCGTCGATGAATAAAAGTATTACTTTCTTTCAAACAATAAATCTTATTGATCCCAAACTTTTAAATGGTAGTGTAAATAATTAGCCATGTGGAGTTCTGGATTAAAATAAGAAGTGTTCATTTTGGACCCTGACCACAGCTGAGACAAAGACCTTGTACAAAACCATAGCCAAAAATAGTTTTTAAACAGTAAAGTTGAGTAAATATCAGCTCACAACCTCAGAGGATTAACCAATAAGCTTAACGCCGTCTGTTCTGTTAGGTAAAAAATTCAGTACAACTGCCATGCTGCAGATTCAGCCGACTAGCATTGCCAGAAGCAGTTTGGGGGAGAAAAGTATTTAGAAATTATTAGAGCAGCCATTGTGAGCAATGTGCAAGAGATAGGGGTAAGGTTGCACGAACTAGGAAAATCAATCAGCATCCCAGCAAAAAGTCTCCTTACCTTCTCAGACTGGCTGAGCAGAAAGTGATGAAAATGTGGGTCATCCTTTACTGGCTATAATGGAAGAGAGTTAAATTGGAAACTATTCTCCAAAGAGACTTACTGACCTGACAGTTGTTTAATCTGCAACTAATTACAGCGACATGGTGAGAGGTGCAACTATATAGTGAAGGACATAATGACTTGCATTTTGAAAATGAGGCGTTTTCACACCAGCTGTGCAGCTGCTATGAAAAGACACAGCTGTAACTGCACCAAAATCAGCCTGTGGGTACATCTTACTGGTAACTTAAAAAGGGCATATGTGTAGATCCCATAAAAGTGCAGAAACAAACTGTGAATGTAACCTACACTGCTCTCCCATTTGAATCCTGATACTGTTCCAGCGACCAGCCGTCGTACAGAGGATGGCTCTGGGTCAGAATCAGTCTGTTCCTTAAGGGAAAGAGAGACACATTCACCATGTGTACAGAATGGCTTTATCTCATGAAACAAAGCCCTAAAATAACTGCATCTCGACCCAGTCAAAAAATGGCCAGGCGGATACACTGGTCACACTGCAAAAGATGACATCAGTCTCACTGAACGGGTGGGTCCCGCTTGACAAATCCACCTCTAAAACATACAATTGTAACCCGACTCCACAACAGGTGCAACAGCAAATGGCCTTAGCTACTTTGATGAAGCTGACAAAAAACGTGTTGGTTATGACCTAACCCTTCCCCTCCACAATGCCATTTAATGGTGAAGCATTATCTTCCAACCTTGTCTGACGAGCCACCCTTGAAGGCATCTTCATCATCTTCTTCAATGATCTTCATTGGTTTAGCTGCTTTACGCCCTTTATCTGACTTGCTTTTGTCATCAGAGTGTGTCTGTAAAACGAAGTTTACACAACATGAGGAATTCGGAACATAACACGAAGCGGATTGCTTTTGTAGTGTAGACGCTCATGTGAATGAACAGCCACAAAATATCGCCTACTGACCTAATACTTAATCATTGTGGGATGTGTTGTGAGAAGGCGCACCAAAACAAGTAGGGATGCACCAAATGTTCAGGTAACCGAAATTATTAATAATAATTCGGCCGAATAAACGAAAAGACAGAATAAACTGTACCGAACAATGACGTGACGCGATCAAATAGCAACCAGAGTAGAGTGAGAGGCGCAAAGCAACAAACATGTCAGCAGTGTGGAAGCATTTAAACTGTCGGAGAAAAACGCAAAAATCATTTCAAGCACCGACAGCGAGAGACTGTTTAGTACTGCATCACATGTCTTCGATGAGAAGAGGACGGGGTGATTGTTGCTGGTTACTGTATGATGATTAAAATCGCGAAATGGCCTTAAACAATTAGTAAATAAGCTGCAGAATGTTGTTTTCTAATACACGCACGAATTGCATGTATTCTGACAGCACTGCAAAAGCTTGCGGTGCCATCTGCTCGTTAACCAGGGTTCAAAGTCCAAAGCACGAGGAAAGTCTGCGCTGAAACAGTGTTACTCCTCAGTTGCTCAGTCACATTTTTATGATTTTTTTTACAAGGCACGTGACAATGCGATACGTGCGACGTATTCGTAAAGAGACTCATTTATAAATCTGCTGTTGTCAACAAAAAGAAGCGCTGAGGTCTTCCTGCACGTTTCCGCCAAAATAAAAGTTGAGAAAAAGCAAGAACTCCAACATTCATAGTTAGTATTGTAATTTTACTGTTGTTCTGTAAAATAAAATAAAAAGACAATAATAAGGATAATTTCTACAGCTCTGTTAATACATTTATTATAACATTCACACATACTGTAATGTTCAAATTGGGATCTGTAATATTTTCTAATGTTTTAAAAGAAGGTTCTTCAACTCAGCAAGGCTGCTTTTTTTTATTGTATAGTAAAAAATACATGCCTGATTCAATGGGTCTGATGGCCAAAAAAATATTATTTTACTAACTTATTCATTTTAAGTTAAATTGTGCTTTGTTGGTATAATGTCTGCTAGAATGTAAAAAAAATGTTCAGTGTTAAATATTTTTAAATTATTGTTTTGTAATTGATTTTTTCTTTGAAAAGCAAGACAAAACAGTAAAAAGCACATTTTGGCTTTTTAATTTATGCAATGGTGAAAAAAATTGGCAAAATACATGGGGAAAAAAAACTTGAAAAACCGTGTTCGGTATTCGGCCCAGTGTTTCATTTTGTTCGGTTTCGGCCAAGAATTTTCATTTCGGTGCATCCCTAAAAACAAGCAATTCAAACATTGCTCCATTGTACCAAAACATATGAATTATGGTGAAAAATCACAGCTGCTTTCTATATCCTTTTCCTTTCCTGATTGCTCGGAATCTGCATAACACAGGGTCTTTCAGTCGATAGCAACTGTGTGCTGCACTTGGCACTCTCGCAAAAGTGATGTACAGTTTGCCAAAATAAGGGGAAATCTGAACAGAAGTGGCCACAGGAGACATATTTAAAAAGCAATTTAAAGGGATACTCCACCCCAAAATGAAAATTGTCATTAATCACTTACCCCCATGTCGTTCCAAACCCGTAAAAGCTTCGTTCGTCTTCGGAACACAATTTAAGATATTTTGGTTGAAAACCAGGAGTCTTGTGACTGTCCCATTGACTGCCAAGTAAAATACACTGTCAAGGTCCAGAAAAGTATGAAAAGCATCATCAGAATACTCCATCTGCAGAAGAGCGTACGCAGTTTGCGTTCAGTGGATATTCTCCAAAATGGCGCTAAGGTGATGCGGAGAGACACAGAGGAGAGGAATTGTTGAATAAAGTCGTTATTTTTGTTTTCTTCGTGTACAAAAAGTATTCTCGTCGCTTCATAACATTACGGTTGAACCACTGATGGCAGATGGACTATTCTGACGATGCTTTTCATACTTTTCTGGACCTTGACAATAATTTACCGTATTGTCCCGAATATAAGACGATGTTTTTTCTTGGAAATACATCTGAAAAAACGCGGTCGTCTTATATTCAGGGTCTAGACTTTGACATGTCAATAATACACCCACAACACTAGGGGGCGCCAAATACGCATAAAACGAGTGTGCCATTCCCAAAGTCAAATAGGTACATCTGGAAAAAGTCTTATAATCAGGGTCGTCTTAAATTCGGGCCAATACGGTACTTGGCGGTCTATGGGACAGTCACAAGCCTCCCGGTTTTCATCCAAAAGATCTTAAATTGTGTTCCGAAGACAAATGAAGCTTTTACGGGTTTCGAACGACATGGGGGTAAGTGATTAATGACAATTTTCATTTTGGGGTGGAGTATCCCTTTAAGGGCCTTAATATCAGGGTCGTCTTAAATTCGGGCCAATACGGTACTTGGCGGTCTATGGGACAGTCACAAGCCTCCCGGTTTTCATCCAAAATATCTTAAATTGTGTTCCGAAGACGAACAAAGCTTTTACGGTTTTGGAACGACATGGGGGTAAGTGATTAATGACAATTTTCATTTTGGGGTGGAGTATCCCTTTAATACCAGCTAGAAAACTGTATGCATCTCAGCTGACCGCTTATGACCAGATCACAGAAAAGCCAAGGTGGAAACAAGACCACAAATTTGTGAATATACTAACCTGATCTTTCCCCTTGGCCTTCTTTAGGTACTCCTCAACTGCATCAACAGCCTGTTGGAAGCGCTTGCCTTTGTTTATCTTGATCATCTCCTCTTTGTGGGGGTGGTAAGGCTTCAGCTGCTCTACCTTTATCCAGGCGCTAAAAGGGCAAAGCATATCAAAAGTCAACATCTGCTTAGTTTAACCTCTCAAATCCTCTGCAAACAAGAGGAAGTGATGGTAAAAGACTACGATCATCTCTGTACTCACTGATCTTCAGTTCCAAAAAACTTGACAAAGAAACATTTTTTGCCTCTTGGCTTTTTCAGATCCTTCGGAGGACTGACGATCTGAAAACACAATGGTTAGGGATCAGTAAATGAAACAACTCAACACATTATCCAAAACAGTCTGCTGATAATGTAGCTGTATCTCAGAGAACTGTTAAAGGGGTCATATGATGCTTTTTAAAAGATCATTATTTTGTGTATTTGGTGTAACAGAATATGTTGACATGCTTTAATGTTCAAAAAACACATTATTTTTCATAGTCTTTGCAACTTCAGGGATCTTATCTATGCACAATCAGCTTATAACACTCCAAAGAGAAAGGAAAACTTGAAATCGCATCATATGACCCCTTTAATAGAAAGCATTTCCGTACATGTTTGAACGTTTAATTTGAAGCATTCTTGCTTTGGTTTGATTAAAATCGACTAAAAACGCTTTCTAGATAAAAAAAAAGATTAGCTCACTAGGTTTTTAACACAGCCGGTGACTTTGACCTCTATATGCAAGAGCCAACAGCTGCCCTCAGAAAAACAACAGAAGTTCAACTCAATCGTTTAACACATGAAAAGATCTTACCTTTCCTGGCCAAGGTGGATAGCGTCCAAGCTTACCCCTGAAATATATAATGAGACGATAAGTTAGTATTTTAAATAAAACGTGACACGATTGAGCGTTTATTAACGTTAAATGAAAGATATCGTGACAAGCTAACGCTAGTTTATAGCGTAACGTTACCCCGTTTCGACCCCATCAGCAAACTGCCCCAACTACACTGAAGCTTGTATTACATTAATTGTTTATACAATTACATATCTAAAACAAAGATGAAACGTTCCTTTAGCGTTAAACACACTAACAGCACGTGTTTTTTTTCTCAAAAAGCATACAAGTAATCGTTAGCTTGTATGCTAAGCTCTCTCAAGCCTGCTGCTCAGTGTTTGGCATGACGACACATAAACTGGGCCTATATGCTAGATTTTTAACAAAACATTTTATTGCAGCCACGACAAAATGCCTTTCACGTGCACGAAAGTGTATTTAACCTCGACGTGAAATTAAATCGTGAGAAGTTAAAATAGTTATCTTACCAAACCAGATCCCCGATCCTTAGATGCACGGTCGCCATCTTAAACTGTTAGCGAGAAACGTCGCACTGAATGTAGGGAATGAACACACCCACTACACCCATCTACCACTACTACTTAGCGACGCGACGCGACAAAGTAGTACGCGCTCGTCTCTTTAATCAGCTGTCGCTACAAGCGTTGTAGTTTCGCTCGTCGCTCACTAGCAGTGTAAATGGGGACACTGACCAGCTCCATGTGTTGTTAAACAGCAGGTTCTGGTGAAGTTATGAAGAGAAAAATGAACGATACGCTTTGAAAGCGGCTTTATAAGCCTCCAACTCCTGTATAGTTCTAAATAGTTGAACGAACGGTTATTTCTCTTTCTTCAGATATTTTATAATGATGTAAACCAAGAGAGAAATAGACTAAATTCGTTCGACATTGTATGAAAATGATTTATGTGAAATAACCCCAAAAGGTTATTCCAGGTCTGAAGGAGAAAGGAAGTGTCATTCAAGCTTGGGAACAAATTTAAGACGTGTGGTGAAAAGTGAAAACAAATAAAAATAAACGTTAATATAATGTGTAAATAAATTATTAATTTTTTTCAACTTATGTTAAAATTAAAATACTGGAAAAGGTGTGAAATTACTATTTGTTTATTTGGGAGAAAATGTTTTTTAAAAATCGAGCCTTAAAACAGGCTGTTTTATTCCAAATATGTATAAAAATGTAATTTCTAATGCTACTAAACACAATACATAATTAAAGATGTGATAGAAATGACACTGACCGTATCAGCGTTTGATAAAGCTCATGTGAAGTTGCAAAATGTACTTAACTTTTGATGTAGCCTACTTATGACTTTTTATTTCTGAAATTTAAAATAAATTCCTGCAAAAAAAGGATCAAAATCTACTTTTTACTCTTTTTAAAATGTAAATATTAATTTGAATAATTTAAAAACGGAGTCTAAGTAATCAAAACATTTTCAGTCTTTTATTTATTTATATTTGTGTGTGTATATTGTTTGAGAGCCATTTAAACCATAGATGAAAGACAACTAAAGGTTAACTAAAAAGTGATTGCAAAGACAGTTTGAACTTTTATTACTTCATGATTAAGATGAATGGAAAGAACAGTACTCAGATTTATCCACATTTCATTTTTTTAATCTTAAATCAAACATGAAAGTAGAATAATCTGACACAAGTAAAAAGTGCATAAAGAGAGACTGACAGGGCTGTGACTTTATCATTCAGGCACACATTTTATATGCGTACATTAGATCAGATTACGGTAAAACTGAACTAGATTTCAGTAAAACATTCTCAGTGTCTCGTTGCTAATCTTCAATGAAGATTCATAGGTATAGTGATAGTAACATTAACCCAAATTCAGCACCATAACCAAAGGAACACCATCTTGCATTGATATAAGAATGCATTTGAAAATAAATACATACTGTATTGAGTAAATGAATATAAAAAGAGATTTCAACTGCAATTTGGGAACACAAACAGCATGTTTACTTAAGATCTTAAACCAAGTAAACAGAATATAACATTTTATGTTGTTTTTCTGATGAATGGATTTATTTGCCTCTGCCTGACAGCATGACCCCGAACTCCTGGATGCTTATCTCTTTGTTCTGATATTGTTGCAGCTGACGGTTTGTGATGTTTCCAGCCCTCAGAGCGTCTTCAATGGAAAACTTCTTGCCCGATTTTCTGTCATGAAGAACGGAGGACTCGCCATTCGGACCCTTGACTGTGATCTCCTCCCAGTCGCATTCTTGACTCTGAAGGTTGTTTTCCTTGTCCCTGATCTCTAGCTCATTGAGCCGCACTCTCAGTCTCTGAATTTCAATCTCAGCTTCTCTGCGGGCTCTGCGTTCACGTTCTAGCTCCTCAAGCTGAATGTCCAATTCGGTCTTTTGATGCTGCATCCTGATCAGCTCTTCTTTCAAGATCTCTCTCTGTTTCTGCTCATTGTTGATGTTTTGAGTGAAGGTGTTACATTCAGACCTCAAGAGTGGATCCTGCTCCATCTTCACTACTTCTTGCTGGACAATCTTTTCCCTCACCTGTGACAAGTCGATCTTCTTAATCCTGATCCTTTCTTCATTGGAGGCCCTTTCGTTTTCCAGGTCCAAACGTTTCCTCTGTTCCTCAGCCAATTTTCTCTTTATACTCTCAATCTCCTCCTTGGTTTTAGGATCTTCTCTGTATTGCAGGATCTCATTTACAACCTCTTTGGTCTGAATTTGAGGCTTGGTGTCTTTCCATCTTTGAATCTCCTCTTTGAGTTGGAGGATCTCCATCTCGAACTTCTCTGTTTGGTGGGTTTTGTCAACAATTTCATTCCTGAGTTTCTCCAGTTCTCTTTCTGTTTCTGGGTCAATCTTGTATTTGATGACCTCTTTGATGAGCTCTTTGTATTCAATTTGTGGGCCTCGGTTTCTTAGCATTGTCAGTTCATCGTGGAAGGACTTCAGCTGGAGCTCTGAATCTCTGCATCTTCTCTGCTGCTCCACCAGGTCAAGTCGAAGATTTGCCACCTCCGCTTCCGCCTTCGGATCGGGTCGAACAATCTCACGCACCTTCTCCTGAATGATGACCTTCGACTTCTCTTCCTCCAGGCTGGTAATCTTCCGATGAATGTCAGTTTTTTCTCTAAGCAAAGAGCTGCGCTTGGTTTTTTCATCTTCATATTGTCTTCTCAGGTTCTCTACCTCTCTCTCCAAAGCAATATCTTTCTCAACTTTCAGTACTTCTTTGATGGAGATCTTTTCCTCAGCCATTGCCTTTTCCTTTTCAAGACGCCTTAGTTTCTCCTGCAGGAATCGAAGCTCGTCTTCGAGTTCCTTTCGGCTGTTTATATCTTTTTGTTTCCTGTCAAGCAATAGTCTGTACTCACTCTCAAGTTGAGGGTCATTTTGAACCTTAATGACTTCCTCCTCCCTGATAATTTCCTGCTCCCTGTTTTTCTCCTCTGCAAGAATAGTCACATGCTTTTGAATCTGAATGATTTCATTCGCTCTGACCATCTTCATCCTCTTGACTTCCTCTAGCTCCTCTCTCAGTCTCCTGAGTTCTTCCTCCTGTCCCCTGTCCCTCTCAATGCGGAGCACCTCTTTGACTGTATACTGCTGAGCTCCTTCTTTCATTTCGGTCTCAATCCCACGCAGCTTTACACGGAGTGTGTCCAATTCGCTCTCTAAGACACGAGTGGTCCTGCTTTCTTCTAAGAGCTTCTGCTGAACCCGGTGATATTCTTCTTCAAGTTGAGGGTCAGGCACCTTCTTGATGAGCTCTTTCTTGACAATTGTATCCTGTGGTTTCTGGCCCTCTAGTAAATAGATGTCACTCTGGACACTCTGAATTTCTCTTTCCATTTGGTCTCTCCGCTGAATTTCTTCCTGAAGCTGTTTTCTGATTCTCCAGGGCTCTTCTCCTGGGGCTGAGGATCTCACCGTCTGGACATTTTGCTGGATTATTGTAACTTCTGGTTGCTGTAATGAATTGCAAAAATATTGAATGTGTTAAAAAGCAAACGCAATGCTTATGCCATACTATGCTTATTTTTATGCATGATGTATGCTGCAATGTGTTTTACCTGGTTAAGAAGGCTTTGAGCAAACTCCAGGTTCTGCAGTCTCTGCTTGTTCACAGCATTCACTTCAGTGAACTTGGCCTCAATTGCAGATTCCTTTAAAACACAACAATCATGTTTCACTTTACCAGTCAGAGAAACCGTCGGTAAAAGGCATCAAAATGCACTAATTACTTGATCCAGGAAACTGTTTACTTTTTGAAAATATTCACCTCTCTCTTCACTTTCAAGGCAGGAGATTCAAGTCTGCTCCTTTTGTATGTCTGAGGAACCAAGCCATCTTCAAGGTCAAGGATGGATTTAAACTGCTCCGCTTCATTTTCATAGTCCTGAAAGCCACGACACAAAGGAGTTCACATGGCTTTGCATAAACATGATAGTAGGATAATGCTCTGTAATACACTGATTTTTGTACCTTGACTGCTTGCTGATAAAGCTGTGCATTTCTAGACACATTGTTCAGGTCTGATTCCTTTCTTGTGATGTCAGAGAGCAGATTCTGTACATTTCAAAGATAGTTTTGGTCAATAAATGTAATTTGTAACATTATAATTCCATTATTGTCATGACAGAAATGGCTAAAGTCTTACTCTTTGATTGTTCAGTTTTTCGTCAATCTGTCTGATGCCATCAGTTTCACGTGGCTCATAGTTTGGTATTCGAGAAAGCCAGCTATTGAGGTTGTCATAGTCATTGTGGTAATTGCCGTAGGCGGTTTTGGCTCTTTGCAGACATTGTGATCTGTAAAATGAAAACATTTAAAATAATTAAAGATGCTGATATTTTGTGATTCAATACACTTAGGACCTATGCTATTGAAAAAAGAATGCATTTATATTAAATAAACATGGTAGCACTTTATAATAGGGTTCAGTTCATTAACATTTACGTGCATTAGATTTCACAGTGACCAATAACAAATTTACAAATAAAAACAAATGAATTAATGCTGTTCTTGACAAATAATGTATTAACTAATATTAACAAATTCAACCTTACAGGAAGTGCAACCATAAACATTAACAGTGAAATCACTCCTATTATGTTAAGGTGTAATATGAACAACAATCACAGCATGCAGTAAACTAAATAAGACTAATCTGTGGAATTATATTCTTAAATCATTTTTTTAAAGTACATTTGCATTTAAAATAACTTTGATATGAACTCACCTTGCTTCAACCTGTCTGTTCAGGTTGTCAAAGCGCTTGGTGAGTTTCTGAACATCAGCCTCTTGCCTCTCAATATCAGGGCAATGTTCTTGCACTTTGTTGGCCATATTGTTGCAGCTGGCCTTGGCATCCCTCAAGTTCTGCTCAGTATCTGTGATAGTAGATCTTTTGCTCCTCAGCTCAGATGCAATGTCCTGGAGATAGGAATACATGAGGCATGAGTACATAGTAAATCTGGGGAAAAAAAGATCAAGAAAAAAAAAAGTGGCATGGATTACTAAACTTACCGCCAACTCACGCTGGGTCTTCTCCAGTGAGGTGGGGTCAGATGGGGCGACCTCCTCTCTTGCCAGTTTGTTTTCATAGGTGGACAGCAGAGCTTTGCCATTCTGCAAAGAATTCTCCAGCCGATAGGAATTCTGCAGTCTACCAAAGTGAAATATTTAGGCTCACATTTCAAGCTCTCAAAGCATGACATTCTTGACTTCCATTGTAAAAAAGGAAGTATGCTTACTTGTCATCAGCACACTTCAATAGCAGATCAACTTTATTGTATTTTTTGTTAGCCTCATCCACCTTGGAGTAGAGCTGTGGTGCACTTGCACATTTTGGAGAGGATCTGAGGAAAGTCTCAGCCTCCTTTACTTTTGCAGACTTTTCTGGCTCTATCTTACGAACAGCAGCAGCAATGTCCTGTGAAGAAAATACTGGATTAAGGCATCAGGTCAAAATATCATTTGCCACTGAAATACAGGATCAGAAGTAATGCTTTTGTGTTTAAATGTCAGATTCTCATTCACTTTCAAACATTTAAATCTACCGTTTTGTTGGTAGACACAATAAAATTTGTGAAGTTTCTTATTTTTCACCTTTTATCGGTGAAATGCGCACATAAGATTTAAACTAACATTTTAATACTTTTAAAAAGGTGTTGCAAAAAACAATTGCGATCTACTCTACTAATGTGACTGAAATATCTGCTCAGACTTAATTTAATAAACATTATTAGAATGAAACCCATTATAAAATTTACATTTATTAACACTCTGATGCATGATGTCCACTAAGAAATACATACTTAAAAAACAAAAAACACCAAACTTTGTACCTTTATGTCCTGTAGCTTGTCAGCGCTGTCTTGCACAGGACGTGTCTGCTCCAGTGGGGGGCGCACACGAGAGTAAATGGCCTTCTCCTGCTTATCCAGATCACTGACCACTTTATCCAGTCCTGCCATCAGCTGACGGCATTGCTGCTCTTGTTTATCTGATGTTCGAGAAATTAATGAATTGAATATTTTACTCCATTTACGAGAGCTCTGCATCTAAGTTCATATTATAACATAAAAGACAAACCTTGACCTCCTGTACTCTCCTTCTTCAGCTCTGCCAGTCGTGCCTGTAGTGCAGATTTGCTGCTGGCTACTTTCTGTTTGATACTTTTGTGCTGGTTTATTAGACTGCACAGATGTTTTCATATTAGACACATTTGTAAGTGTATACATTACAAATTACATATACAGATCAAGGAATACCCACTTATCAGCAACAGCCACAGCCTCAGGGTCGGTCGGTGGGATTATGAAGCACACTGCTGGAACACTCATGGTGCGGCCATTTGAGTCCTTCACGTCCCATTTGGATCCATTGTTCCTGAGCAGGGTGTACCGCTCCCCTCGCAAAATTGAACCCTGTGTCGTACAAAATAAGCAAAGTGAGCTCTGTTTCAAGTTGATATTGCAGCTAAAAGAGCACAAATTCTTAAAATAAATGTGAAATCTGTACAAAATCCCCTGCACACGTCTCTAGAGGTTTATATGAGATGAATCGTTTGGGTGAAGGCCGTCTTAAGGATTTAAATACATTAGATGGGGGAACCCAAAACACGAGCAGAGACAGAGTGTAGCGTTTTTCTGTGCTTACTCATGATAATAGCTGATGTTTCACTGACTGGTATTAGTGGAGCTCTAAGCCGCGTGCATAGAGTGAGCGAGAGCTCAAACTCCGTACCTCATTAGTCTCATATTCACACAGAGCCTCGATAGGGAGCAGTTTCTGAGGAGTCTCCCTGCGGTAAGTCAGAGGGAGCACCTGCAGGCTGCGCTTCTGAAGAGCTTTCAGTCGCTCGTCGAAATGGTCCATGGCCTTTGCCTGATCCTGTCAATACAGAGACAGCATTAGATAGTGAAGACACCTTTAAATTCAGTTCTGTCATGACGGCTCTCGGAGGGATTGGCATGGTGATGTGCATGACAATGTTAATGTATTTGGTCTTGGTGGAATAGATCTGCTACGCTGCTGCGGCAGAGCAAGTACCGAGACTTGCTACTGCCAATACATCCACAACATGCTGCTGTAAGCATGTAAGAAATACTGCTGCTGCACATATAACACATATGAATAACCCCCATATAGCATACATGAATCACCTCATAGCAGATATATACAGGTGGAGCTGGGGAAGGTGGAGGGTTTCTGAAGCAAGCTGCAACTGCTACGGCAAGCAATAGTCATATATTTGAATGTTGAGCAGCGAGCTCATTGGCTACCGATACAGGAGAGAACCAATCAGCTGCCATGTGACAATGATGTTGCCAGGTCAGATTGAGCTAGACCTATCGGATTGCGCCATCTAGAGCTTCATGCCAGAACTCTGTATTAATCATTTCATCAAGAAAAAAAATTGTAGCGCATGAGAAATGCAATAGGTGCCAAACTAAAACAATGTATTTACATCTAGGTCAGCAATCAGGCCCTCCATCTGGTACATGTCTTTAAACTCAGGATTATATTTCTGGTTGATCTCGGTTTCCAGACGCTTCAACAAATCGCTGGTGTCTCTTGCATCCTTGTGGAACTGGAAAAATAAAAAGAATGCAACTGAGCAAGACTGACAGCAAGCATGAGGAAATATAGGAAACGATGAATAATGCAAACTGACTTTGTGATAATCATCCATGTTCTTGAGGTGGTTCTCTTCACAGATCAGCAGGTTGAGGTATTCCTTCCAATCTGCATGTACAGCATCCATGTGTGCCTAAAAACAAGACTTGTTTTAGAATAAGCATATACAGCAATGCCACTGTGATATTAAATATATGCATCATTTTATAATTTATATAAAAAGGGATATGACTCATCATTGATTATATTCAATTGCATTTTTTTTATTATGTACAATGAAATCATATTTAAAGTTATTTGGTTTATTTACAGTCACTGCAGTGTATGTGTACGTAATGTGTGCTAGCCCGATGGTGTTTTGTCTTTCTACTTTGTTATTATGATGTTTTTTTATTTCTTTACTGTATTTTTCTACATGCCACAAGCTAAAATTCTGCAAGATTAACCCAAACACCCTTAATTAACAAAACCCAAACTAATAACATACAATAAGACAGCGAAATAAAATACCTAGCAATAGAATAACATAATAATACATTATGACACAAATACATTTAAAAATAAATAATTCAATAAACAGCAATAGAATAACATAATAATAATAATAATAATAATAATACATTATGACACAAATACATTTAAAAATAAATAATTCAATAAATAATAAAATAGGTTGGCAAAATGTATACAGAGTCAGCCAGTACATTATCCAAAAGGGACACCATTCCTTATCAAATGTTTTTAAGAAGCCTGTGGTTGAGAATCTAACTAAACACCTCTTTAATCCACATATCAATTATGGTGGTTATTTTAAAGTATGAAGCAGATTATTGTGCTTCAAATTGATTATATATATGACATATCCTGTTCGGCTTAACTGTGCTCAGAGAAATTGTAAAAACTGATATCAGATCAAAGTTTTTTTTGGTGTTTCAGTGTTGCCATAGTTACTGCATACTACTCTATAGTGCAGTACAGTTATGCACTTTAAAAAGACATCCCATAATGCCTTAAACAGTGTCAATGTATTTTAATGGTGATGTTGCAGCAACCAGCCAGTTTTTGATTGTAAATTTGACAAAATGACTTGTATTATTACCCCAATGACATTTTTTCCCGGATGGTTCTGCTCAATAAGTTCCTCTCCATCTTCATTCAGCTGGGTGACGGTTTTCTCCTTAGACTCCAGACACTTGCTAATGAAGTTCTGACGAAGATGTCAAGTACAAAGCAGCTTGTTAAAAATATATTGCTTTAATGTTTCTGTTGCATTTCAGTACTACAATCATATAATTTGTAGGAGGTTTGAATCATGAAAGCATATTTCAAATGTAACCGTAGCCTTAGCACCATCTAGAATTACGGTTCATTTTTGTATTGCCTATCATTAAAGAGCTGTTCATTTCTAAGCCTTACCTCGTACTGCCTCTTGCGGGCAGGGTAGTCCAGGTTGTTGTCGCTCCAGTCATATGCAGTTCGCTCTTCAGCTTGCTGTTCCATCCAGTAGAGCTCGTTGGTGCAGCGCTGCATGTAGTCCCTCAGACTGAGCAGGTTCTTTTGACGTGCAGTGGAGCTCGCCTGAGATGGACATGGTCAAATCCACAGTGTTTTAGAATTGACAACTTACTATTACAACTTCAGTCTTCATATCTAGGTTGAAAATTAGAAAATGCAGAAAATTAAATCTCACCAGTAGTTTGTTGTACTTCGCCTGCTGGCCATCCACACCGTCCTGTTATGCAAGTAAGCAGATGAGTCGCAGATGTCATTTGCATGACTGCTCAAAAGAGTCAACTATTCTTCTTTTATTCGGCACTGCATTTTAAAAGAGTCAGTTAAAAAGTACCCGGTCTCCAGTGATGTACGGAGCAAGTGCCTCGACTTCACTGTGGAAAATATTGTGCTCCTCCACTTCATTCTCGACGGTCAGCAGATCTTGTCCGTATCCTTTGTTGTTCACATTTGCCTGCATCAGAACACATTCGGACATGAATCGATTGCATTTGAAACCATATATTCAAAGGCAAGATAGAGAGGTATGTTTAGATACACACCAGTTTCTCATCAACTATCTTTCCCCA